TTAATAAGTCAATGTTAGTATCCCCTGTTAATATAACATGAGGAGTGTAGTCAAAAGCTATGTCAAAAGAATGTTTCAGTCGAGTCCAAATTCCAGAGTTAGTATTTTGCCATGGAGGTTTGTATAGTACACATAGAAGATATTTCTTATTATCAGTACAAAATTTAAAGGCATATATTTGTGCTGTGTAGAAATATTTTTCTGAAGTATAGGGATACATTTGGTGCCGTGTAAAAATATATTTGGAGAGACTACAGATATATGTATACAGTGTAGAAATGAATGTGTTGGCAGTTCATAAAAGAGTAGTTTGACTGACCAAACTAACTTCAGAGGCATTACCTTGATCAGCTGTGCATGCAAACTATTTACATCTATTCTAATTACTCGTTTTTAAACATTTGTGAAAATGATAGCATCTTGATTGATGCAGAGTTTGGTTTCCGATTAGCGTTGAGTAAAGTTGTTTTTCCCCTTAATGCAATAATAAGTATTAATAAAACATTATCATCTAAGAAAAAAATGTATAGTTATTTCGTTGATTTTAAGAATGCGTTCGACTATGTTGATAGAGCAAGTCTCTGGTCCAAACTTATGAAGACTGGAATTTGTGGAAAATGTTTAAGAGTTGTTAAATCTCTTGACAGCAGTGTACAATCCGATGTTACAGTTAAAGGAATGCGTCCTGAATTTCTCTCAAACAATATGGGCAACTGTAGTGTTACGAATGGCACGGCAGTCTACACAAGAGGGTGTTGAGCCGGCACGAGAGAAAGATTTATAGGCAACTGTAGTGTTACGAATAGCACGCGTACGGCAGTCTACACAGAAGGATGTTTGAGCCGGCACGAGAGAAAGATGTATCGACAACTGTAGTGTTACGAATGGCACGCGTACGGCAGTCTACACAGGAGGGTGTTTGAGCCGGCACGAGAGAAAGATGTTGTGCTCCGTCGATGGTAATGTCCAGACTAAAACAGGTATATACCTAAAATTATTGCAACGCATGCGCATTTGAGAACAATAGGAATCACCAGTGATGCTATCCATATGTCAGGTGCTTATCGTACCATTGTTAGACTGTTTGGTACTGATTGGTACTTCCTGCATGTACGTAAATATTACCCATTGTCAATGCACGTGTGACATTTCAATCTGCCACTTATAAAACAATCACTGCTAACAATAACTCATAGGATTACAGAGTATTTCCAGGAGAAAATATGTCTCCTTTACCTTTTTCTCTCTTTATTAACGATTTTGATTAATAATAATAGCACTGATTACACTAGTTTTGGTGACCCTACTCTATGTTACTGTTATACGCTGATGATTAAGTGCTGTTCTCAGAAAGGGTTGAAGGGCTCCAGAGTAGGCTTGAAAGCCTTCCTGAATACTCATCAGATTGGAAATTGATTTTTAACACTGATAATACTAAAATTGTTGTTTACCGCAATGGTTACAGATTTTCAGAAGATGTCATCTGGATGTTTGACGGTGCTCCTATTGAAGTTGTGGATTTTGTTTTCTAGGTACGCATTTTAAATATGATAATAATCTAAGTATTATTCAAAGTTATTTATCTGGTCAAGGCAGAAACGACCTGTTCGCTTTATGCTCTAAATGTTAAAACAGTGTAAAATCTTGTTAACACTTACGTAAGCAGTAGTTTACATGTATGGTATGCATCTGAGATATGGGGTTTCCGAAAAAATGCTACATAATTGAAAAGGTTCATTTGGATTTTTGTAAGAGATTGTAAGGAGTAAAAACCTCTACATGTAATGCCATGATATATTTTGAACTTGGTAGATATTCACTCGAAAATATTTTATAAATGCGTATTTTCAAATACTGGTTTAAGATTTTAACCACAAAGAACAATAAACTGCAGGTATCATATCAGGATCTGCTTCATTTGGTAAAATGTTGTTACAAACACAGCTGGGTATCTTTTGTTTAGCATTAATTGTTTTGACTGGGTCTAGGTAACTTGTGGATTGATCAGCATAAAATTGAGATAAAATCCGCATTATTCATGCTTAGGCAAATTTTATTATAAAACCCAACCCAACTTGATATTTTGTTTGAATACTAGTCAACAAAGCTTTATAAACAGATACATTTTTGATAATTTTTGTTTACAGCTTCACCTAGGAAAAAAAAATACCAACAAGAATCAAGAATTTTATAATCAAAATTACGTATGTCCTCGCATTGCTTGTCTATCGAGACAGGACGATATCACATTGAATGGTCACAGAGGGTACGTTCTCATTGTTCATTAAATGTTATTGAATACCAGGTTGTACTAATATGTCCTTTATATCAAATGATAAGAGATGAACCCATTAAACAGTACTACTGGCGTAGGCCATCTGACTTCAAGTTAACTCGGTTATTAAGTGTACAGAACAATAACAAATTAAAAGTTTTATGTAAATTTATTTTTGAACCAAAAAATATAAGATCAAGAAACCATACTTCAGTAATTATATGTACAGTTGTAATGGTATAATACATATTACTACATTGTCTACTAATTATATGTACCTGTGACTTTGTATACAGCATTTTCTTTGCACTGAATATTGTATGCCATGATATCTAAGGTCATTCGATTGATTAGCTGATGAGCAAAATTGCGCAAGGCCTAGAATAAAAGAGAATTGTCCTTCAGCGACAGCACAACAGCCAAAAGAAACATTTTGATGGGTTCGGGCATAAGACCAGGACCATTTGCCAAAAAACAGAATTAGCAAAATATGACCATGACGGGTGTGAAGACAAGAAAATGATCTCACGTTCTCATCCCGATGATATTTGATAATAAGGGATGTCGAATTAAATTAACTTCAAGCAGAAAAACCTTATAGTTTGTCATTTCCTGACCGCATAACCCTTTCAAGCAGAGGAGCCGAATGCCGTTGAAGAGTTAAATGCTCTAGGCTTGTCCAACCCAAATATTCTTTTCAGGGCAAAAAGGGACAGAATACCTCCCAACTCAGATTTGTAATGAAAACTGGAAACTCTGGCCATTAGAGATCAACACTGCCTTGCATTAGTGCCGGGGAAAATAAATAAAACACCCAAAAAACAAGTCACAAATTGTTTTGATTGAAGTTACCTTTCGGCAACTTAGACAGCCGTCATTTTGGACCCGATAAATCCGGTGATTTCATACGACACGCTTGAAGTGATAGGTATTAAGGCTCTCTGGAAGCTTACGAAACATATTGCCTCTGATCGGTAAAGCAAACAAATTCTGCTGCCAGAACAAAAAACTTTTCCGAGAGGTCTTGGCAAAAATGAAGTACCAGAAGCCGAGAGCACGAATTTTTCCGAAAACTCAGATGCGCCTTTCTAGATTCAAAATTTAAGAAGATGAAACTAGGACACACATGGGACTGTACCTTTAATAGATACAGCACGCGACATGAACTACACTGCTCCATTCAGCTGTTTCGTTCTTCTAAGAGATATCAAGCTCTTGACACTTGTACCAAATCTGGTGTAAAGATTATCATAAATATCGCTTCTAGAGCAATCACGGATGGACAGAGAGTAAGTTAGAATCAAAGTGCCGAGAGCACGCAGGGATCCTGTGTATTAAGGATTCAAATAATGGAATAAAGGAGGTGGTATATCAGTACAGAATGACAGTAAATAATAAAGAACATGTTGTTGAGTAGGGTTCATAAACACCCATCCCTTAATTTTCAATAAATATATATAACAAGCAGAGTATTTCTAAAACAATTGAAACTTGTCTGATATTATGGTCCTTAATTAGTGTTTCAACTCGATAGAAATCCTTCAAGGAATGAAGCTGCTTCAGCGCAGACAATGATATTTTTAAACATAGTAACAGTGACCTTGACCAGACAACCCTGCAAACCAAAATTGTCCCGAAGGATTATGGGCAAGTTTACGATTAAATAAGATAAGAAATAAAAAATGTTATATAGATAATATAAATAAATAATTATTATATTCTTACTATTTGTTATTATCACGATTAATTATACAAAAAATTAAAACGAGATTGTATTATTTCCTGTGCGTGTAATCACGGACTTATGCAAGTCCCTTGTGTATCGCTCCTTCTCTCGATATTGTAACGAAGGTTAAAGACCTAAATAATTATTCAGTTTCTGGTTAATGTGAATAATGCGTATATACGGTTTAAATTTTTGATGATCAATATGCTATATTCAAGAAGCACTTATAGTATACTAATCGGGCCATTATCTAGAGACTGTATTGGGAAGCTATCTACAAACTCGTAAGGCACAGCTGCTGTCGCATCGGGAAGCTATCTATAAACTCGTTAGACACAGCTGCTGACGGCTACTTTAGTATAAGTCAACATTCTCTTTCACTTGGAGACTTTCCATTGAGACAAAGAAGACACGATTCATAATCATAATTTAAGGTAATAGATTGTGTCGACATTTCTCAGTAGAATTTATTCAAATTTTGTAGTTATATTGCTTTGAAGTAAAAAAAAATCTCTACCAAAGAAAAAAAATAGGTTGTCAGAATTTTAAGGATTTTAAAAGGAAATTTATGTATAAAGGAGTGAATTTTGAAATAAAAATTTAAACACAATTTTTTGCAAAATAATGTCAATAAAAATGATACTAACATAGATAAGTATTGCATTAATGTATATCAATTTCATAAATGCTGAAATTGTGTACAATTAATTATCTATAAACGATTAAAAATTGACATTTTATAATAAAAGCATATACACATAGTAATTGCATGCAAGAGTTATCGTTCTTGAAAAACTTCACAGTAGTGAAATAGGTAGCCGGTTTCTGAAGTACAGAAAAATGGACACATGTGATTCATTGATTAAAAAACAACTGAATTAATGCCTGGATTGCTTTGCAATACCCTAATATTGAAAGAACACACTGTTCTGTCAATAATAAGCATACACTATTCATCACTTTAATATTAAACATTAGATAATGCGGAAATTGTGATACTGTCTCCCTACATCGGATTCTCAACTAGGGATGTACTTCCTATTTCCATTTAGTAATACACTCCTATGACATTAACATTCAATTTAAAAGTGGTCGGAGTCACCTGTGAATAGCACCCGCGCATTTCACCAAGGCGGCCGTGGCTCGACTCCCTGATACGACGTGATAAAGGAATTGGGGCACTTACCCGACCAAATGGTTTTCTCCGGCTACTCCGGTTTCCTTCACATTAACGCACAAGAATGATTAAAAGTTGATAAAACTTGTTGAAAAATAAAGAGAATATTTTGTACATGTTAATTGGGGAAGTATCAACGTCTCGGACAATTAGGAATCCACGACAGTAGCAAGGACACAATGTCTGATTCAGTGAGTTTCGCAATGCACTGATCACGTACAGTATGATCCGTTATTTATTTGATCTATAGAAAATACAAGGACATTTGAAGTCACATGTGGCATTTTCAAATTAATTATCAATACATAGGGTTATTGTTTTAGTGCAGTAGGCAATTTTAAGGGGCTGAAATAATTACCTAACAATGTATAATCCTAACATATCGATATCTCCTCCTATTAGTTGATACTCTAGCGGATTGATTATGAGTAATGGAGACACATTTGGGTGCGTTCTATAGGTATCGTCCGGCGCTGTACTGATTGATTTCAGATTGCAGCCTCATTGCCATGTCCTTATTATCTACTTCATGTCTTGTGTAAATTGTCAATAAATGTCGTAACAATATAATTTGTTATTAACTACAGGACCACAAGCATATTGCTTGTGTGACAAGTACCTTTTAACTGTTACATAATAATACAAGTATCAAAACCAGCAGTCATGAGCAGCTCATTATGGCGACATTAGAGCCTGTTGTGAACCCCGTAGCTCGAAATAGTCCAGAGTAAAACAACCGGTTCATCCGTGTAAAGCCCAGCTTTAAGTGCATGCTTATAGACGGAGTATTCTGTCCTCCTATAGCAGCCATGCAGAAACCATTCTTGTCAATCATCATTCTTGCTAGCCTAGTCGTGACGTATTTGCCCAGACCTTTGTTCCTGTGTTCTGGTTGGACGAAGGTCATTCCCAGGTAACCGTACAGCTGTTGTAGGGACCAGGCTACCAGTGTCTTAGATCCTTCGTCCTCCACCCCAACACTCAGAGTCCCCATCGCCAGGATTCGCTTCACACTTTTTACGTAATTCGCCTTTTTATACTCTACACCAGTAATGATCATTTCATAATCAGTAGGGACGAGGGATCTGGTTGTATAGCCGCCTGGTAGGTCACTGCAACAAACGTCATATATGTACAGCCGCATATAAGAGCCACAGAGAATACATATGTCTACTTACAATATACGATCGTGTAATACCAGCATAGCTGTGTTATAACGAATTAGTTATGCCATAGTTACAGCTTGCGGTATCTTAGAGTGATATCGTTGTGACAGCTTACTTACTTGTTATAACGTCAGAGCTATGCCGTTATACACGAGACAGGATCGTTTAAGTCGTTATCCATTAGGACAGGACTACATCTATAGGTCGTTTTACAAGTTAGAAAGTCGGAATTATGACATCTCACAAACATGTTAATTTATACCAATGGTTGTATAAACTTATGTATTTTTCTCATTGTTATTGTCAATTATAGTACTTTGAACATTTCGACATGAAATATGATAAATACAAAAGCAGGGAAACATCTCGAATATTAATTAAATATCTAAATGATAATACTAACATTTACGTTTAAGTAATGTAACAAATATTATTATCAGAAAGGCAGAAAATGTCAGGATTCAGGAGGCATCAGAACTGTGTGGGAAACACCTAGATACTATTTTTCATTTTTTTTTAACAATAAAATATACTACACGAAATAAGACCCCACTTATAATAATGTATTTACATTGCGTAGTAAGAACGATTAAAAAATGTGTAGAAAATAAATGTAAATACGGAATTTCAGGAACATTGTCTGTATAGTAAACGGCACTTCCAGAAGATGCTAATTCTGTAAATGGTGAGGCTTGCCAACTTGTGATAACACCCTTCACTTTTTCATATACATCTTCCCAAACAACTGTAACAAAAGATATATTTTACTTATATGAATACAGAGAAAATTGATAATTAAACATAAATAAGTATACCAAAGGGATATATAAATATAGATATAAACTTTATTTTTGTTTATTTATTTACAACAATTAAATTCGATCAAACTAGTATGAACGAAAATGATAGATTCCTACAAGAAAAGGTTGTTTCGAAAAGGGTAAGCGTCCTATGCTTTATCGACTTAACCCCTCATGTAAATCTAGGTCAAAAGGAAAACCAAAGCGAGATCCGGAGTAGTGACTACGAAATAACAAGATACACTAAAGAGAACACTAAAAACCCGACCTCAATATCGCAAATATAGGCAATAGCTTGAACGATCTTCACAACCACTCGAAACCCTGTGTTGTAAGTTTGTCAGTCAGTAGTCGACATCTATCACGGAAACCCAGTGTTATAAGTTTGTCTGTCAGCAGTCGACATCTATCACGGAAACCCAGTGTTATAAGTTTGTCTGTCAGCAGTCGGCATCTATCACGGACATCATTATGTTATCAGCAAGCTCTTGGAAACTTAATCAAATGCGGCAATTCAACATCATAAGTAGGGGGAGAAAGACCCAATGACAATCCATGATTGGCAAACTGAAGTCGAATTTTGTCGAGTGACAGAAAAAGCGAATATGAATATAAATATTTGAAGGATTCGTAGCAAACACAAATCTAGTTTTACATCAGTGTTCATTGTAGATCATTCTCTAAATTAACATACCACATAATAACGAACAGTAGATGTTTGGGGTGTCAGACCATATTTGAAAATAGAACGATACGCCTCGGTGAGTTTGATCCATTTGCTTACTTCCGTCAACTCAAGCAGGATATTGCTGAAAGCTTGTCGTAAGAGAACTGAGTGACGGAAAAACCTAGACGGGTCTCCCTGAGATATTTAATTTGGATGAGACCAATACCGGTTTTCTTTCTCGGGCAGCCAGGAAACAAGAAATCAGCCAGGACGACAAAGAAATGTTTGAACGCGAAAAACAATAGCCCTATTTAAATGTTTATTAGACTGTTTATTACATAATCATAAATATGAAATATCCATTTTATAAAAATAACTGTCGACACTCTTGCAGTTTTCTGTGAAGGGAGTTTTAAGATTTATCGACATGGGCAATTCAAAATTAACAAACTAGTATTAGACATTTTGTGAATTTTTTTATTGCAATTATCCAAATAACCTTCTTCCAAACGTATTTGATGCTTAGGTATAATTTGTTTCTATATTTATACACTGGCCCTATGTATTGATGATTTGATATTTTTGACCTTGTACTTTTTGATATATTTTGTCCCTGTGCGTAGAACTAGATTGATTTTGATAATAAACAATAACCGGACTTCAGCCAATCTAACGACACTACGCACCGCAAAAAGTGATGTTTTCCTGTTTCAGCAATCCAGACATGTCTAGTAAAGACTGAATATCCGAGTGGGGAAGGGAGAACAGAAAAACACTTTTCTCGTGGTCTGAACTCTGAAAGATGAAAAAAATAATATTGACCGTAAGCGACAAAGGACTACTCTATAACATTGGTACATTAGATACTGCATGTCTAGAAAGGAATTACCGGATCAAACAGCGGTAAGTTACTGCGTCAATTTGTTAATTAAAGAGAAAACTGTAATAACATAAGTTTCTATCTCCATTTAAATATTGAGTCAGTTGTGTTTATTTGTTGATTTAGCTTTAAGGTTGTTGTAGTTGTGTAGAGGCGTGGATGTTTGGAGTGTTGCCCACTCGGCTAAGTTGTTGTAATTGTGTTTGAAGCGTGGATGTCTGGAGTGTTGCCCTCTCGGCTAAGTTGTTGAAGTTGTGTAGAAGCGTGGATGTCTGGAGTGTTGCATACTCGGCTAAGATGTTGTAGTTGTGTTTGAAGCGTGGATGTCTGGAGGGTTGCCTACTCGGCTAAGTTGTTTTAGTTGTGTAGAAGCGTGGATGTCTGGTGTGTTGCCTACTCGGCTAAGTTGTTGTAATTGTGTAGAAGCGTGGATGTCTGGAGTGTTGCCTACGCGGCTAAGTTGTTGTAGTTGTATAGAAGCGTGGATGTCTGGAGTGTTGCATACTCGGCTAAGATGTTGTAGTTGTGTTTGAAGCGTGGATGTCTGGAGTGTTGCCTGCCCGGCTAAGTTGTTGTAGTTGTGTAGAAGCGTGGATGTCTGGTGTGTTGCCTACTCGGCTAAGTTGTTGTAGTTGTGTAGAGGCGTGGATGTCTGGAGTGTTGCCTACTCGGCTTAGTTGTTGTAGTTGTGTAGAAGCGTGGATGTCTGGGGTGTTGCCCACTCGGCTTAGTTGTTGTAGTTGTGTATAAGGGTGGATGTCTGGAGTGTTGCCCACTCGGCTAAATTGTTGTAGTTGTGTAGAGGCGTGGATGTCTGGAGGGTTGCCTACTCGGCTAAGTTGTTTTAGTTGTGTAGAAGCGTGGATGTCTGGTGTGTTGCCTACTCGGCTAAGTTGTTGTAGTTGTGTAGAGGCGTGGATGTCTGGAGTGTTGCCCTCTCGGCTAAGTTGTTGAAGTTGTGTAGAAGCGTGGATGTCGGGAGTGTTGCCTACTCGGCTTAGTTGTTGTAATTGTGTTTGAAGCGTGGATGTCTGGAGGGTTGCCTACTCGGCTAAGTTGTTTTAGTTGTGTAGAAGCGTGGATGTCTGGAGTGTTGCATACTCGGCTAAGATGTTGTAATTGTGTTTGAAGCGTGGATGTCTGGAGTGTTGCCTACTCGGCTTAGTTGTTGTAGTTGTGTAGAAGCGTGGATGTCTGGAGTGTTGCCTACTCGACTAAGTTGTTGTAGTTGTGTAGAGGCGTGGATGTCTGGAGTGTTGCCTACTCGGCTTAGTTGTTGTAGTTGTGTTTGAAGCGTGGATGTCTGGAGTGTTGCCTACTCGGCTTAGTTGTTGTAGTTGTGTAGAGGCGTGGATGTCAGGAGTGTTGCCTACTCGGCTAAGTTGTTGTAGTTGTGTTTGAAGCGTGGATGTCTGGAGTGTTGCCTTCTTTGCTTAGTTCTTGCAGTTGTGAGGGAAGCGTTTATAACCTGAGGATAACTACCGATGTACTGATAATTTCCGCCTTGATGAGCAGTTACTTGAGGTGAGATGACACTTTTAAGAAAAACAGAACAAAATACATCTTCATCACACACGCATGTATACATACACATTGAGGTATTAACCAGGTGGATAAGGCTGGTAGTTTCTGAAAAGATATCCTCCGCATATTTCTCATAATTATTTTGATAAATGAGGCATTGATTGTGTAAACTGTATATGTACATGTTCATTCCAGTTAGACATGACGTATGTCAAATGTTGTATACTTTTATAATTGTTTTTATTGCAAATGACATTTATTTCCACTGTTACATCCAATACTTATTACATGGAAGCCTGCATCGTCTGGCATCACTAATACAGCGCTGATGTTTGGAAACCTGTCGACATACACGACATATCCGCTCAGTCCGCGTGACACCAGCTCCACTGGGCTGTACACCTGCAGGGTAACACACACATACAGCTCTCGTTATCTATTACTGTCGACAACAATTACTTTCGCGGAATAACTTTGCTCTTAGATATAAGAAGACAGTAAAGAACACATCAGATTGTGAAATGCCAACGGCTTACAACACCCATTAGCATCCGCACGTTTTTCACACGGTTCAGTGTCCTCGAAACACTCAAAGTCATTCGAAAACAGATGTCTCGAAAAACACTGAGAATAAGTAGGAAAACCCCCAGAACATCTATACCCCAGATGTTGAGATTGGGGCTACAAGCAGAAGAAACACCCGATTTTGCAGGAGACTTTCATTTATGGCCTCATACAGCACTGCACTGGTGAACAACGCCACTGAAGCGTGTTAGTGTCATATCAGATAAGATAGAGCTATACTGAATTATATATATACACACAAAGATGGTAGTTTTCCCCTGATATTTAGTGCTTCTGTAATCAATACTCACAGCCATAGAGTCAGGTAAATGTGTATACAACATCTTTAGCACGCCACCCAATTCATGTACAGGTAAACACTCCGCCATGGCGTCTGGTCTTCAAACGAAAAGTTAGCTTTATTTTCTTCTTAGTCTATTTAACATAAAATTGTGACAAATTGTTGACATTTCGTTTGACTGTTTTTAACAGCTCTCCTCTCGCAGGGGTATGGACATCAGTAACGTACAATTTGTAGGTCTATTAAGTGATTTAAGATGTCAATGCTAAAACAGAAATGGAAGGTCAGTCAGTGTAAAGTTATTGATATTTCTTCGAAAGGAAAGCATAACTTTACCGACAAGGCCCTGAAAGCTACATTCGGTTAAAAGCGCATTAGAGTTTATGTTTTGTCGTTTGTAACTATACCGAATTTAAACAAGAGGCCCAGAGGGCCTGTATCGCTCACCTGGATACCTTAGCAATCATGGCAAAATATTCTCAAAATGAGATCAAGGGAATATGCCAGACCCCAATGCCAATCCTTGTAGCATAACTGTATTAGATTTTGTCATGCCCAGCAATTTTATGTATGGTTATGGGGTAGGGATCTCAACTGTTTCCAAGCTTTGACTCAAAAACTAGGTCCCTAGGGTTGTGGCCAGACCCAAGGATCAATTATAATATTGTGACTGCATTTGTCTCTTTTTGCCCAGCATTTGTATATATAGTTTTGGGGTGGGGATCTCAACCGTTTCAAAGTTATGACCCAGGGGTTAAGTCTGCAAAGGTGGGGCAGACCCTGGGGTCAATTCTAATATCATGACTGCATTCGTCTCTTTATGCCCAACAATTGTATATATAGTTTTGGGGTAGGGATCTTAACCATTTCAAAGTTATGACCCAGGGGTTAAGTCTCCAAGTGTGGGGCAGTCCCTAAGGCCATCCTGGAAGCATATGTGCAATCATCTTTTTATACTCAGCAATTGTATATACGGTTTTAGGGTGGGGCTCTCAGCTGTTTCCAAGCTGTGACTAAGAAACTAGGTCCCTAGGGGTTCGGTCAGACCCCAGGGTCTATTCTGATATCATGACTGCATTCGTCTCTTTATGCCCAGCATTTGTATATATAGTTTTGGGGTGGGGATCTCAACAGTTTTAAAGTTATGGCCCAGGGACTATGTCTCCAAGGGCGGGGCCAGACCCTAGTGCCATCCTGGAATCAAATGAGCAATCTTCTCTTTATACTCAGCAATTGTATACCATGGTTATATGGTGGGGATCTCAACTATTTCCAAGTAATACACTTTTTTGGCCCCACCCCTTAGCCCGGGGGGTCAGCCCCACCATTTGTACAATTTTGAATCCCTGCCTCCCATGAATGTTTCCGACCAAATATGATCAATATCCATGGCATAGTTCTGCAGAAGAAGTCGCTTAAAGCAATATAGCCAAATAACCCTTTTTGGCCCCGCCCCTCAGCCCCCTGGGGGGTCAGCCCAACCATTTGTACAATTTTGAATCTCCACCACCTAGGGATGCTTCCAGTCAAATATGGTTGATATCCATCTCTTAGTTCCAGAGAAGAAGTCGCTTAAAGCAATATAGCCAAATTGCCCCCTTTTTGCCCCGCCCCTCAGCCCCCTGGGGGGTCAGCCCCACCATTTGTACAATTTTGAATCCCCACCACCTAGGGATGCTTCCAGTCAAATATGGTTGATATCCATTTCTTAGTTCCAGAGAAGAAGTCGCTTAAAGCAATATAGCCAAATTGCCCCCTTTTGGCCCCGCCCCTCAGCCCCCTGGGGGGTCAGCCCCACCATTTGTACAATTTTGAATCCCCACCACCTAGGGATGCTTCCAGTCAAATATGGTTGATATCCATTTCTTAGTTCCAGAGAAGAAGTCGCTTAAAGCAATATAGCCAAATTGCCCCCTTTTGGCCCCGCCCCTCAGCCCCCTGGGGGGTCAGCCCCACCATTTGTACAATTTTGAATCCCCACCACCTAGGGATGCTTCCAGTCAAATATAGTTGATATCCATGGCATAGTTCTACAGAAGAAGTCGTTTGTAGCAATATAGCCAAATTGCCCCCTTTTTGCCCCGCCCCTCAGCCCCCTGGGGGGTCAGCCCCACCATTTGTACAATTTTGAATCCCCACCACCTAGGGATGCTTCCAGTCAAATATGGTTGATATCCACTTTTTAGTTCCAGAGAAGAAGTCGCTTAAAGCAATATAGCCAAATTGACCCCTTTTAGCCCTGCCCCTCAGCCCCCTGGGGGGTCAGCCCCATCATTTGTACAATTTTGAATCCCCACCACCTAGGGATGCTTCCAGTCAAATATGGTTGATATCCACTTTTTAGTTCCAGAGAAGAAGTCGCTTAAAGCAATATAGCCAAATTGACCCCTTTTAGCCCTGCCCCTCGGCCCCCTGGGGGGTCAGCCCCATCATTTGTACAATTTTGAATCCCCACCACCTAGGGATGCTTCCAGTCAAACTTAGTTAAATTCCAATCAGTGGTTAAGAAGAAGAAGTCGTTTAAAGAAATTGTTGACGTACAGACGGACGGACGACGGACGCAACGGTATGGCATAAGCTCACCTTGGTCCTTCAGACCAGGTGAGCTAATAAAGCTTTCATATACATATATATAGAACATCCGCAGATACGGTGACCTACAAGATGATACATGTATTTATAGCTAGCGCAACAGGGCAATGAACGAAATACGGTTTAATATGAATATTAACGTAAGAATATAGAATATGATTTATTAAAAAAGGTAAATTTCATTAACAAGCCACACGCATTAATGTCCTGATGCAGATGTCTTACCTGTGTGACAGCCCCGGAACATTACCTGTGTGACAGCCCCGGAGCATAAATGCTTTACTTGCTACATGTGTGTAATCTGCGGGACGGTAACCTAATTTATGCCACCTGTAACATGGACCTGTGTTTTGACATTCCTCGATGAATATTCACGCAGGAGATCTAAGGATTCACTATTGCCTGCATTGCAATAAGAAAATAACACTACAGGACAGGGCAATGAAAATGAAATAACATTTAAGTAAATAAAATAACACTACAGGACAGGGCAATGAAATAACATCATAGGTACTGGTAGCTTTATTTATTGTTTAGATGTGATGTGGAAATCGGCATGTAAACTAAGTGAAATACGATACTTGTCATGTCATCAAAGGATAAGAATTTTAAAATATTGACAAATGTTCCCTTTGGGGCCCCACCCTAGCCCCTGTGGATGGGGAAGGAATCCCAATTTTACAATGTAATACCCTCATTCACCACAGATGATTCTGGCTAAGTTTGAGTAATTTTCTGCTGAAAATGGATAAAATATACCCAAAAGTGTTATTTCCCTATATAAACT